TAATTAAAAATTTACTTCAACATTAAACTTTGAATGTGAATTTTGGAAAAAAATATCTTCTTAAGTAGTTTATTTATCAGTTAAAAAATATCTAAAATAGAATTGAGCAGTTGAATTAAATTTGAAGTCATAGCAATTTGAAATGTTTGGATTTTGTACATTTGTTTTCTATTATGACCGTTGTTCAGTTACAGGGGAATACTCAAGGGGGGGGGGAGGTCGTGGGGTTTGAACCTCCCCCATGACCTCACTAACCTATGTAGTCTTGTGCGTGCRTGCTTATTTATAATAATATAACTCACAGGAGCAATTTTCTAAAAAAATAAATTTTTTTAAGGGAAAAAATAAACAAAATATATCTATTTTAAATTATATGTCAACGTGCAATATACAACKATTGCATGCATTAACTGTTAAGAACTGTAAGATTAGATAGGTAAGTAAGATAAGTAAGATTAGATCTCTATCAAACATCAATGTTGATAATCTATGAAAATTTTTAAAAAGAAGGTGACAAAGTCCCAGTGATAAAAACAAAATGTTCAACAACCCCCAATGAAAACTCCTGAGTACGCCTATGTTCAGTTGTTGTAATAATACTCAATAATCTCGTTCATTACTAATTATTAAGAATTAAAATAATATGCGATATGATTCCGTATAAAGTATGACTTGAATCTTAGAAAAATCTGCATAGAAAAATCACATCAGAAATCAAAAGTGATATCAAAAATAATATCAAAATCAAATACTTTTTAATGATTTTTAAAATTTATATTGTGAAGTTGTTAATTTATAATAAAATAATAATCGTTGAATAATTAATTTTTATAAGATTTGATTTAAAGTTCGACAATAGCTGATAGTTCGATAATTTTGTTCATATAACATTATGTAGGTAATAATAAATAACTAATATATCGTTTTATTAGGCTTGTTAGACCAGTGGTGGTTTTTCCGGGAAGTAAGGGAGTCACTACCTCCCTTAAAATTAAAAGAAACTTTAGAATTATTTAAATTATAAAATATTTTTTGTTTATAATTTCAAGTATAGACACTTTAATAAAAGGGAAATTAATAAAATATAAATTTAAATTATGTATTGAACAGACTATGAACCGTGCCCAGTTTCGATCTTTCAAGACCGTGGTGCACTGGTGCTCATGGATAAGATACTGCCCAGTGCCCGCGAGRCGTACTGCACAGCCACCTGCGAAATAACCAAATATAATATTGTATATAATTATAGTAATATACTAATAATATGATAATATACTGTATTTCTGTAATTGTCGACGGTCTCCCACATTCTCAAGAGGCAACCGCTGCCACAGTTATCGATATGTTACAATATGTGCACACAAATTTACACAAACAAACGCACATAAAATATACTAAAAGCGCATACGCGATTCTCCGTGGAGATTGCACAATAGGGTTGCCTCCGTCCGAAAACGTCATAAGCTGTGACTCACAGAAGCTGACCGATAATTATTATTCTAATTTTTAGGTACAAAGTTTAGGCGCTCTACATGCACAAGTTATATTATTCTTTAAATCATATTATTATTGTTTAATCCCTACTTAATTGCACGTTATCACTAAATAAGTTATTACCAATAGCAAAATTKAATAATTGAAATAATTCATAATAGATWATACTTTATTATTTTAAATTATAACGTTTTATAATATAAAAGATTATAATCTTTAAATTGTATTGTTATAAAAATTGTATTAAAGCAAAATTAATTAATTTAATTCTTAAGTGTTGTGTGATTCTAGTTTATCTAAATAATAAAATAACTAGACATATGTCATGTAGTATAAACTTGTGAGTTTGTGACTTTGTAATATTGTAGTAAGCGACTTATAAGCAGTCACTTATATGCCAAATTCACCTTCGTAATAAAATGATTGTACATGAAATTTACGTTATTTGAAAATGTGCATTATTTTGAACATGAACCAATCATAATTATTTGTATGGATTTTAAATACCTTCGTACTCGTGTATAAATAACTACATTTTAGTACACGTGTATAAGTAAGTACTTTATAAAT